CTTGGCCACTTCTGAACTTTCAACAGTCTTGTTCTAGAACTTGTACATGTTTCCAGATCTAGCTAATTTATATGCAGACTGTTGGGTCCTTGCCTTTCAGGCAGATGTGCAACCATGAAGGTGGGGGGCAGTGGGTCCTCCCCCCCCCCCCCCCGCTTTTCAACCCCAATTGGGGCCGCAGAATGCATACAGGAATAACTGTCTAATCAAAGATAAATAAACAAATTCAAGGTTAAGTAATAAATAACAAGCACAGGAAATGAACAAGAAAAAGGGCAAAAACATGTAAAGGCAACATAAAAATCAAAAATTCTGTTTGCTGAATAAACAAGTTACAGGGACTAGAAAATGAAACTCAAAAAAGTGACCATCAATCCTCCAGAATATACAGGAAAACCTTCCGTAGACATCCTTCTTTTCAGTCAACTTCAATACAGAAACATAGAACCACTTCTGTTAATTAGGCTTCTTGGGGACAAGTCAGTTCTAAGCCAGTTTTGTGGCATTTATTGAGATTTGTGGGAGTCGCAATGGTGTAGCGGTTAGATGCTCCCCTTGCGGATCGGAAGGTCATGGGTTCGGGTCCTGATGAAGCCGGACCATTTTCAAAAATGATCTTGGCTCCCAAGATGACCTAGCCTTGAATGGGTACAGAGGGCTGTCCTGGGAAGTAAAAGTGGTCGATGTGATGCTGACCATATCATCCATCAACGTGATAGAGACGGTGCCAATTAGTCTATAAAATATAGGTCTAGCCATATATGCCCAGTAGGATTAAAGGCGTGGAAAATTGGCCTTTAATTAACTATGGGGATTTGTAACGCATGGGCATGCGGGATTAGCAGCATTAATAGGGTGAAAAGGTTAAGTCTTTAAGTAGCAGCATTAATAGGGTGAAAAGGTTAAGTCTTCAAGTCTTCAGGAATTGTAAAACACAACTTTAAGACACAAAAATTACCCAAACAATCAGTAATTGCAATCTTCACAATGAAGGTTGGCATATTACCCAAACAATCAGTAATTGCAATCTTCACAATGAAGGTTGGCATATTACCCAAACAATCAGTAATTGCAATCTTCACAATGAAGGTTGGAATATTACCCAAACAATCAGTAATTTCAATCTTCACAATGAAGGTTGGCTGTAGCTGATCTCCCCCATGCTGTCTTTCACTCTTCCAGACTGATGCAAATCTATTATCTCTTTACATTTTGCTCCCACTTGTAACGCTCTCTTCCTCTTGCTTGCTTGCCTTCAACATTTCACTAGTATAAGTTACACAATCAGGAAAACTTGACTTGCAATTTCCTATTATAAAAAATCCTACCAATACTACATAAAAAAAAAAAAGGACAACAATTAAATATTTAACGTATCAAGCAAAAAGCAAAATACAAAAATTAATCAGTTCTGTACAAGAGCTGTATTTATTTACATTTATACAAATACTAAATAAACAACTAAGATCCCAGAGATTGAGCTCAGAGAATGAGCTTTCAGAGACAACACAAACATCTAAGCTATAGGTTATTACAAAACTTGTCTATATATAACACATAAGAAATGAAAAAAGAGTTATCCATATTCAGCTTATTTGACATTAATCATTAACAACAAAGAAAAAAATTAGGATATACGTGCCATTTATGCGTACAGTTCGAAGCTTTTGTACACGGTGACAACTTTACCACATAAAGCTATGGTGTGAAAGTGAACATAAACAAGATGTATGAGTTAAATAATTTAAAGTATGGATATGTATAATCCGGACAAGAAATATCTACAATTGTGAAAGTCAATAAATATTTATTTATGCATACATATTTCTACATGTGAAGTCATACAATCAACTAGTAATGAGTTTATACTGGCAAATAACAACTCTGGTCTCCATAATATAAATTTACATAACTGTACCTGCTTGTGTAACATAAACTGTATGTTACTCTCTTTCTTTTCATGTTTTTTTTCCTTCTGGCTGATTTTGATTAATTTCTGTGTGCCCATTTTGAATTCTAAAAAATTCACAGAGATTATCCCTTTGCAATGGCTTGGCCACGTTATGAGAATGACTTCTGATATACCTGCCAAAACAGCTCTCACATGGACACCAGAGGGAAAGAGAAAACAGGGGCGCCCAAAAACAACATGGAGACAAACGATGGAAAGTGACCTGAGTGCGGCATCTTTGACCTGGAAAACTGCACTAAAAATTGCACAGGACAGGAAAGCATGGAAAGTCCTCTCTGAAGCCTCATGTGCCACTAGGCATAACGAGAACTGATGATGATGATGATCCCTTTGTGGATGCCAGGATCCCATTTTGAGGAAACAAGAAGAGACCCACTGTGTCTTAAACGAGAGAGAATAGTTCCTTAACAAGCAAAGAGACTATTTAACTTTACTAATAATGATATTTCCAACTCTTTTAACACTTTCGCCTCGTAAAAATTTGGAGGTGAAAAAAATCACCTCTTTCAACATTTAAAAAAAAAGAAATACATCGTTATATTTCTCTGAAAATCTACCCCATGAAACTAGAGGAAGAGAAGAAAAAGCAGAAGAAATCTGGAGTCGTGGTCAGTTTTTATAACATGCCTAGGGGTTTGAAACCAATGACCACCGAGCAGACAGGCAAGTGTGCTAGCTACTGCATCTTCATCAAGTCAAGGATGGAGTGTTCATATTTTGAATCATTATTTTTCCCAGAGGTGATTTAAAAAAAAAAAGGAATAAATAAGGAGGGGAAGTAATCAGTAAAGACAAACAAAGCTAAGAAATAATGCTTTCTTTCCCTCCGGGGTTTTGCTGATACAGACATGGACTGCACGGTGACCTCAAAAGTATGACATCGCAAGGACCCCACCACCTTCACCTCCCACCCCCTAAATCAGGTTTTTTCCCCATCCCAAAATAATCTCTCAAAATTTGTTTTGGTCATTAAAATCATACCCACCATATCTTTACATTATGCTGTTCCAACTAGTACCAAAGTTGTTATACATGCATACTGGCCACTACCTAAACAGATTATGTCTTCAAAAACCCAGATGAGCCAGAAAACCAACTTTTTCAGGATGACAGGGCCAATTCTGCTAGCAAATAAACAGTAATCCTGATACTGTTAATTCTAAAAGTTCATAAAAACAGGTCAAGAAAGTACAATAATGAAAGGAATGGCTACTGGAAGATACAGGGGATGCAATACATAAAGGTGGACACAGAACATTAGACATTCGGGGCATGTAAACGTATAAGGGTGGGGGAGCACTGGCTAAAAAAATTAAGTGTTTATGATGGGTTGTGATGACAGCAACATTCTGCAAAGTACCTTCTACGGGGTGAGGTGCAAATATGGCTTTACATTCTAGTGTGCTTCTGATTAGTAATTTAAGAGCTGACATCATGGCAACTGAACCCGCGACCCACTGATCATTGCCAGTTGTACTGAATTGGTGCTGCGCAAAATAGAGGGAATTAAACTGCATGATAGAATAACTAATGTAGAGCTCTGGGAGAGAACTAGTCAGTCAGTTAGCAAGTTGAATGTTTATCATCACTGCACACCAAAGCATTCAGTCTATAAGTGCTTAGATCCCCTCCTCAGCGTGTATTGGCTTAAAACACCAGTTCTGTGTAGGTTTACTATTCCTCTTTGGGGCCCTGTGTAGCGCTCTTGCCTAGCTTCACCCTTTTTGATGCTATGTTCGTGTAGTCTCGTCAGCGTTGTAAATTCACAATCATTACTTGATTTATTTAACTGAGCTGCCTCTCTAAGGGCATTCAGTAGTATATCAGCCCTGTCCATTGCTCGTCCCTTTCCCACGTGAGCATCACTTGCAAGTCTTCAGCTTATTCATTGCTGCTTACATCAGAATGTCCCACAGAACAAATATGAAACTGATTTTTGCCAGCCTAGATCTAATCATGGACTCCACTCATTGTCTTCGTGTGTAACCCTTCTCGATCTTCTTGAGTATAATAATCCTTGAGCCGCTGAGAAAGGGAGAGAACTAAACAAGTCCTAGTAGAGAAACAGGTGAAGAAAATACACTGCCGTTGGATAGAACATACACTGAGAAAACCTGAGAACAAAATAACTAGAATGTCTTCCCACAGGGGTATATATATAAAGGCAGACCCAAAACCACATGGAGAAGGGAGATAGAGAGTAAATTACAAAAGATAGGGGGTACACAGGGTAAGCTGCATGCAACACCGAAGGACAGAACAACTTGGCACGTGTTGTTTGAGTGCCTATGCTCTATTGATGGAGGGAGGAGAAAGGGGGGGGGGGGGGTTAGAAGGCAGAAGAAGAAGAAGAAAAAGACAGAATCCCCTCCTCTATCTATTGTGGTTATCATCTAATGCACACTCTCCTCTCCCTTCCTTTTATAAATTATAATTTTTCTCTTGCATTCTAGCTTTCCATTTATTATGGGACTCTGCATAAATACAGTTTGATCTTTAAACTGATTTAATAATTTGCTATTCGTTCCTAATTTATTCAGAACTTTTAGCTGTGGTTTACCCTATTAATAAAAATCATCTTATATTTCTATACATCCATATTTCAACAGTATTAATACTTTCTTACCAGTATTAATACTTTCTTATATTCAAAGCCCATATCTCTGCACAATACAATAATATAGAGTGTACATAAGTGTATATACTGACCAGCAAACTGAAAACGATTCCATGAATAGTTTTACATGTATACATAAGTGGTTTTAATTTTTGCACAATTACAGTGTTATATAAATGTAAATGTGTAGAAGGCAGCTAGCTCTTGGCCGTTGGTTTAACAAAGCTTAATCTACAGACAACCTACTTCACACAATTACACATGGCACAAAACATCATTAGTGAAAAATCTAAACTGTATTGACTAGATGCCTGAGTTAAATAAATCATGTAAACAACAGCAATAACTGAAAAAAAATAAACATAATTATCAACAAAATAAACGTGTTATCAAAAGAGGTTCAGATGTTTTTCAGTCGCTGTCTGTATCGTTGTCATCTAGGGAGATATGCTCCATGATGTTGACAAGACCCTGTCTCTGAGCCTGCTCAAACACTGCTTGGTGACAGAACACATACTGATCTGGCATTTGTATTGAAAATGCTCTCTGGGACCTGATTCTCCGGACAGTTTCTTTAACGTCAACAGTGCCAACATCCTCCAGTCGACGCAAACAAATGTCCACTGTAATAAATGTTCCTGAAATTGGATAATGTCAGAAATGTTTCTCAGTAAAACAGTCAAGTGCAGAACGTCAGAAATTTTTCTCAGTAAAAGGGTCAAATGCAAAATGTCAGAAATGTTTCTCAGTAAAACAATCAAGGGCAAAATGTCAGAAATGTTTCTAATGTAAAACAATCATGTGCAGAATGTCACTAATGTTTCTCAGTAAAACAATCAAGTGCAGAATGTCACAAATGTTTCTGAGTAAAACAATCAAGTGCAGAATGTCACAAATGTTTCTCAGTAAAACAATCAAGTGCAGAATGTCACAAACGTTTCTCAGTAAAACAATCAAGTGCAGAATGTCACAAATGTTTCTCAGTAAAATAATCAAGTGCAGAATGTCAGAAATGTTTCTAATATTAAACAATCAAGTGCAGAATGTCAGAAATGTTTCTCAGTAAAACAATCAAGTGCATAATGTCAGAAATGTTTCTCAGTAAAACAATAAAATGCAGAATGTCAGAAATGTTTCTCAGTAAAACAATCAAGTGCAGCATGTCAGAAATGTTTCTCAGTAAAACAATCAGGTGCAGAATGTCACAAATGTTTCTCAGTAAAACAATCAAGTGCAGAATGTCACTAATGTTTCTCAGTAAAACAATCAAGTGCAGAATGTCACAAATGTTTCTCAGTAAAACAATCAAGTGCAGAATGTCAGGAATGTTTCTCAGTAAAACAATCAAATGCAGAATGTCAGAAATGTTTCTCAGTAAAACAATCAAGTGCAGAATGTCACAAATGTTTCTCAGTAAAACAATCAAATGCAGAATGTCAGAAATGTTTCTCAGTAAAACAATCAAGTGCAGAATGTCACTAATGTTTCTCAGTAAAACAATCAAGTGCAGAATGTCACAAATGTTTCTCAGTAAAACAATCAAGTGCAGAATGTCACAAATGTTTCTCAGTAAAACAATCAAGTGCAGAATGTCACAAATGTTTCTCATTAAAAAAGTCAAGTGCAAAATGTCACAAATTTTTCTCAGTAAAACAGTCAAGTACAGAATGCCATAAATACTTTTGAGTCTTCTTCTTCATCACGTTTTTCTAGTTACTTCTGATTGTGACCCAATCCAGTCAATGCAGACACATCTGGATTTCTGCAGTGACCTGTTCTCAAAAATTGTAATTAAATTTCAGAGGTACTGTGTGCATCTGTGCTGCCTTTAAGAGGAAATGATATGACTTTATTAACTAGTAATAGCATTTAGGGAAGAGTGTCGTTGTGGCCTCAATGGCTTTTTTAAAGCCACGTTGACATAAAGTATTTCATTAAGCCTTACAACATGAGTCACCCGATATATATACATATACATATACATATATATTTATATATATATATATATATATATATATATATATATATATATATATATATATATATATATATATATATATGTATATATATATAAATGCTTTAGGCACCAGTGTTTGTATTCCATTTAATGTTTCCAGTTGTGTGTATTGATTTCTTTAAATATTTCCACTCACACACAAATGTAGATACATATATATATTTTTAAAATTTATTAGTGAAATGTGTTAAATGTTTCTTTAATAAATTATTTTTTGAGAGTTCATTTTTGTGTGTGTATCTGCAGTACAAAAGTATTAAACTGTTTTTGATACAGACTTGAGTTAAATTGCCCAAAGCTCAAAGTTTTTAATTTTCTACACTACAAACAGTGCTTTTTCCTATCCTGTCTCTTGCCACAGTCATGTTCTCCAAGATGAAAGTTTCTCACTGCTAACACAGTGCTCTTTCCTGTCATGTCTCTTGTCGAAGTCATGTTCTTCAAGGTGAAAGTTTCTCACTGATAACAGTGCTCTTTCCAGTCATGTCTCTTGTCACTCTCAACGTTGAACCACTTGGCCAGTCGCTCCTCATCACTGTTATCAGCCCTGCTAACTATCATGGGCTGTCATGGTTCACAAAACAATCAGTTCTGGAGCCTACTTTATTTACTTTATGTAATTTCGAAATCAAAACAACAATCTGAGAATAATTACAACAGTCAGTCAAGCAACTACCTGTGCGACCAATACCAGCACTGCAATGAACAACAATCTGAGAATTACAACAGTCAGTCAAGCAACTACCTGTGCGACCAATACCAGCACTGCAATGAACAACAATAGGGGGTCCCAAAGGATGTCCTGTCCAGGCAGCTCCCATTTCCCTTGTTGCCGCTTCCTGGACATACCGGACCCTGAACAAGAAGTCCAGAAATGGGGCTGCCGGTGGCACTCCATAATCAGGCCAGCTTGTGAACTGTAAATGTGTGATCACACGAGATTCTCCTGTCTGCAGAAGGAGCAAGAATCCCAGTTTTAGAGGCAGGCAATAGATGATGATTATAACTAAATATAACTCTGTTGATAGGTCTTAAACTTTTCTGCCTTCTTTCCTAATTCTTCTTCTTTGTACTTTTTTGTTGTTTTGTTTTTAGACATCAACCTAAATTTATTTAAAGAAAGCAGCAATCCATTTTAGGATGTTGAAATCTTAACTGTGTTTGTGCTCACATGAAGCTGGCACATGTCAGAATAGTTTAATCCGTTCCAAAAGAAAGATAATAAGTCAAGAGGACAGACTTCATTGCAAAACATTAAATCCCATATGGCGTGGCTTTTATTCTGGACAGACTGAATTTGTGACCTTATGACCTGATCAGTTACAACAGGTACCAGGAAATGTCCATCATGGTGCTGGCCATATATCCCTCGAAGTGCTGATTGGTTAATAATTAAGTTAAGAAACAACATCACAGCACTCAGGACATTCCTATAAGTGCTTTATCTCCAACTTCAGCAAGTGGAGAGTTCCAATATAGATGGTACCAGAAGCCTACAGACAGTACCAACTAATTTTTCTTTCTATCTGGCCAGTTGCAATCTAATGATATGTCTTGCCTTTTATCTGAGTGTTGAGTTTCAGCCACTTCTGCATCAATGTCTTCAGACCTTGATGCAATCTCTTCAGACCACAAAGATCTATTTTCCCACCCATTTTGTTCACCTGCTCCTACAGGTCTCTGACCAAATCTACTTAACTTTGTCATGCATCAAGTAGTCACCTAGTGGCCAGGTTGTAAGAACCCATCTTCTTCTTCTTAGCGTTCACCGCCTGCAAAATGCTCCGGCTTTTCATCCACTTCTGGACTCTGTATTTGTTCCAGAACTTGAATTTCACACACATATCTATTTCACGGATGAGCTTATTTGTATGCAGACTTTTGGTTTCTCACCTCTCAGGCAGAAGTAGTGTGACTTTGAAGGAAACATCTCTAATTAAAAGTAAAGTAAAGATCCCTTTACACGCCCTTAGGCGCATCAGGCATATGGGAAGAGCACCCATATTTTTACAGACCAATCGGCACTCGGTGGGTAATGTGGTCAGCATTAGTTGCCTTTTAAGTCATGCTTGTTGGATAAAAGGGGAAAGATGGGGGAGTGGGTCTAGAAGACATTGTAAGAAATAATTAAGAAGGGTTGTGTCAGGTATCAAAAGGCAGGTACAATGTCAGAGCACATGTGTACAACAAGGCCATCTGAGCTGCTCTGACACACATTCTCCTCCTTGGCAGCCAGTTCGGTTTCCTCTCATTCTCAGATCTTTCCTTGGCCTCTCATTATGATGTTATGATATAGTGATCTGCACTACTAAGCCGGGCAAAGGTATAATAGTTTACTGTGATTTCTCAGACTCTCTCGATCACAGACTCCAAAACAACAGCTTATTCCCACGACACTTTCAAGTTGTAAGTAATAACGAACAGTGACATAGTTCTTTTAAACACAATCTAGTTCTATTAGACCGACCATAAGGCAATGGCAAACTACTGGACGTAAATTTGCCTAGAAAAACCACACAACAGCTAGGGGCTGTTGGGGTTGGTTCTGCAACGTCCTGCAAAGGATACGCAACTAACCTTAGTTCTATTAGAGCAATCACAGTTAATACATTTATTACAATGTCCCAGCTACTAACAGCTAAACTATTACTATAACTATAACTGCCACCACTACTCTACACTCATGTAGCATGGCCGCAGTTGTCCAGACCGTCCACCAGGACATCCTGTCATTGACTGCCCTCAGCCTGCTCACAGAAGGAGCTCACTTCCCTTACTTCCTGTGGCTTGTGTGCACATCATGACAATTCATGTTTGGTATTTACCTGGCGGACCCACATTCATGCAATCTTCAATCCTATCATAATCCTGACAGACCGGTACAAATCGTTTTCCCAATCCCAAAGAAAACTGCAGTTACAAATTTCAGCCAAACATTAAAAAGGTCTACAAAGAATTTGGCTTGAGCTGGGTGAGAGCCTAAGTTTCCACTGAAAGTGAGATGATGAAAGAAGTTGAAGAATCCCATGAAATAAACCATTCCACACCTATTTCAAATATATCTGTGGTACAGTACAAGATGAAGAAGAAGAAAAAAACAGGAGAAAAGAGATGAAAAAAACAAAAAGAGAGGAGGGCAAGGAGGAGGAGAAAGATACCCACATTTGTGTTATGAAGCATCAGCTGGGTCTCTGTAAAATCTTGATTTTCACTGATGCCATTATTGTAAACAATAAACTCCTCAAACTGTTCATCCGCTTGTTCATCACTGGGCCAGTACTGACCGCACTTCATTCTTGACCTTTCAATGGTTCTGGGGAAGAATGATAACACTATCTTCAGCAACAAACTTTCTTTCTTTCACTTTCCTTTACAACAGGAAAACAAACTCGGGTTCAATGCTGTAGTACAGCAGTTCTCAATCTGCCGGTTACAACCAGTGTTGCCACTTTTCTTTGACAAAAAACATCCAAAATAGAGTAAAAAAATATCTAAAAACATCTACATTTGTGTGAAAAACATCAAGAAAAAACATCCAAAAGGAAAGCGTTACAAATGACATTGCAATTGATATGACATACCATATAGAATCATGTCCTTTACTGAAGTCTGCTTTACAAGATCCACAGGATAAACTTAGCGTGGATGATGAAGTTGAAGCTTCAGATAGATTCAAAATGACTCTGATATGCTTTAGCTGTTCCACTTTCTTTTAATTCCCGATCAGGGAGCTGATAAGTGGAACTGCCTTTTCCTACTCTTATCAGACCGAATTTCATTGTCAAGATAGCATTTAAGAGGTCAAATTTCATCCTGTTTCTTAGGTTAGATTTGATAAATTCACTCTAAATGAAAAACAACTAGAAAAACATCTACCATCTAAATGTCAAAAACGCCATCTAAATGCAAGGGAAAACATCTAAATCTGAATGTAAAACATCCAAAGTGGCAACACTGGTTACAACCCTTTTTGGGGTGTACTTTCACATTCAAAGAGTCACCTAAATCATGTGCCCAACTTCGTGTTCGCCGGCCATCACTCCTCCTTCCTGTTACCACACCTTCTGCTATTATTTTTTCCTATCCGCCCTGGTGCTTGATATGACCAAAATATTTCAGCTTCTGAAAAAAAGATACTGTTTATTTGCCTATCTTCTTTTGAAATATCAGTATTTCTTCTCTTCTTTGTCCATGGTATTTATATACGACCAGAAACAAAATTTAACATATTTTCAGTGTGGGTTCTGAGCCATCATTCTGGTAGAAAAAAATAACAGATCCGCCGCCCTCTAACAGCTATGCTGTAAAAGGTAAATAATTAGGGATTTGATGAAATGAGATGTGCTGAAAGGGACAGACAACCACAACACATAGTACCAACCGCCCCTTTAAGGTCAAATGCAGAAGATATTCTTACATGACAATATCACAAGGAATATGTTATCTGATACTTATGTAAATTCCAAAAGATGAACTGAAATGCTACAAATCTATAATTTTTTTTTTTATCGCCAGCTAATTTTTATTTTGAATTACTTATAAAAGTGTGTGCTTTTAAAATTAAAACAAAAACAAACAAAACACATGAAAATATGGATATTAACTCTTTGGGTACCAAGAAATGCATCATATGTTGACTAATAAATTTAACTCTCCACTAGTACCGAAAGCTTTCAGCACAAATGCAAAAACGTTGGTGGAATTATATACACAAATTGTGAAAGCTGAAGACACTTTACCTAGTTGTCATGACAATAACACGAGACTGATTCTGCCAAATCATCCTCCAAAAGTCGACAAATGTCTTAGGAAGAGGGCCTACAGTGAGGAATAAAAACTGTTAATTATTTAGAATAACAAAATTGTGTTATCGTTATTTCCCCAAGTATAAGATGAACCCATGCATCTTCCTCTCCTGGCAGGCTAACCAGGTCAACAAATGCCCGTAGAAGATGGTTGTTATGGCCGAAAGGTGCAAACATCGCAGCCATGCTGTAAACGGGCACAAAGCAATTACATCTTCGGATGAACGCAGAAGAAAAAAGAAGCATTAAAAGAAGAAGAAGAAGGAAAAAAAAAAAAGAAGAAGTATCATCTTCTTCAGTGATCTCTGATCATGCGCTTAATCCACTGTGGGCAAACTGGGATGTCATCTCAAGGTCTCTAAGGTTTCCCAAAACCTCCGCCAGGAGAGGACAGTTTTACAAGATGTGCTCTGGAGTTAGTTCAGCAAGAAGAACTAAAAGAGAGCTATTTAGCTCATACATTTTATATTTTTATATGAGTGTTTGCTGAGTCTGCAGTATCCAGTGCACAAGCTGATCCTGTATAAAAGACAAACCATGACTTTGGAAGAGGAAATTTAGGAAGAAACAACATGATTACATAAAGTTACTGAACGCTTTTTCTGACATTTATGGGCAGAACATAACGAGAAAAGTGTGAGACAATGAGCATGAAGACAAGCCCAAAATATTTTTTACTAATTTGATAATTTTTTTTCTTCACATTTTATGTTGCCACTGAACTGGTATTCCCAAATGAGACCCTGTACAAGATATTTTCTAACAAATTGTTTGGTAAAAATCTGCTTCCACTGTATAAGATGCACACTGTTTTCAGACCCTATATTTTTGGAAAAAAGTGTGTCATACATACTTGGGGAAATATGATAATTATCTAAAGCAGTGGTTTCCAAATATATACGACCCACTGACACTCTCTAATTTTCGAAGGTTTGCCACAGACCCAAAATTTGTCAATTAAACAATTCACTAATCTCTAAAAAAAAAAAAAAGACTAAATATAGCAATCACCAAATGCTACCTTGAGTGCAGATGAATGCATTTTTCTGCATGTAACCATCCACATAATTAGCATTGATGTAATCAGAGTTGGGGTCGTCGTCTGTAGCTTGAAGGATAACTCTGCTGTGATCGAAGCACAAAACATCTGTGTATCTGTTTTTGGAAAGGTTTGCTTTCAACCTATTTCCGGGGAATCAGAAAAGTAAGCGAAAAGAAAAGTGAGTATAAATAAGGCAGTAATCTCTGAAATTCTACAGCAAAATATATTTTCTGTACATACTTATAAAAATAAAAATAAACGACCCTCGTTACACCTAAGATTCCTAGGTCGATACAGTCTAAAATGGGTTTTAGCAACTGCCATAGGATCTCAATGTGGCTGGCATGATGTCAAACACAGCACCTGGCTGTGTGCTCACAGGTGTACACACACATAAGTCTAGCATCATATACTCATTGCTTTTACTAAAAACACAGTACAGACATAAAAAAACATAACAGTATAATATAGGATAGACCTGAGTGGCACCTTGGCACCTTTCCGTCTTTCCAGACGATAGTAGTTATATTGCGCTATGAGGAGGCATGAGACTCACAGCCCATGGCGATGGCGAGTGTGACTAGCAAGACCCGCCCGTGTCAAGAAAAGTCTTCCACAATGATAGCATGGGATTTCAGGACCATTGTCAATATTTGTATTTAATCCGTTTCTTCTCAGACGCTCATCTCCTCTCCCTAGCAAAAAGCCTGGGCAGTACTGTAGAGACTATATGTAGTTTCCAATGCATAATGATCCCTCCCTCGACCTGCCTTGTTTACTCCAAAGGAAAGGTAAAATCAGTACGTTTAGAACGAGGCAGGTTGCAGAAGCTGCCGGATCAGAAGAGCAGTGCTCTATCTGCCCGCCTGTCGGGGCTTCCCTCCTAGACCAGCTGCCAATAGACCTAGGATAGACCTATGTGCTTTATATACCAACACGATATAGTCCCATAAATGAAAAAAGCAGCGTAATATCAGAAGGACCGATGTACATCTGTACTAACACATTATGGTCACATAAATGACAAAAACAGTGTAATGTAAGGTAGATCTATGCATCAACACTATACAGTCACATAAATAAACATAGTGTAATATAAGATAAATCTATGTAGCTTTATGCACCAATATAGTAGAGTTACTTAAATGAACAAAATAACAGTATAATGTAAGACAGACCTATATACTGTCACAGTAAAATCACATAAATAAACAAAATAACAGTATAATGTCAGACAGACTATGTTCTGTTACAGTATAGTCATATAAATGAAAAAAATAACCGTATAATGTAAGACAGACCTATGTACCATCACAGTATAAGTCATATATATGAACAAATGAACAGTATAATGTAAGATAAGCCTACCTATTGACACAATATAGTCATATAAATGAACAAAATAACAGTATATGAGAGAGAGGGAGGCAGGCAGGCAGGCAGGGAGGGGGGAGAGAGAGAGAGAGAGAGAGAGAGAGAGAGAGAGAGAGAGAGAGAGAGAGAGAGAGTTAATGAACAAAGAACATTTATTTTCAAACAGTCACAAATTAGGCATGAAAACCTGCCTTACATTCAATACTTCAACCCATCTTTCAAACAGCAATTGTATTTTATCTATAAAGCATTTTATGTTATGTTCACATAACAATATACTTACTATGTCTGTCAAGACAAATACACAAAAGCATGGATGGTAAATGCATACATTCAAATATACATACATACCAGACACGCATATGTACATACATAGGGACATGTTATACATACAGATTCACACAAGTTATAGACACATGTACTATATACATACATATATGACCCAGAAAGAGAGAGAGAGAGAGGGAGGGAGGGAGGGAGGGAGGGAGAGAGAGAGAGAGAGAGAGAGAGAGAGAGAGAGAGAGAGAGAGAGAGAGAGAGAGAGAGAGAGAGACAGAGTATTTAAATAAATACTTACTTAGAAACATTGAAAGTTCCAGTAGGCTGCTCCATTTTGATTGATGCATACTCAGAGAAAAGACCTTTTCTCTTGAATGCGTTGACTTTTGATATAAGCTCTTCTACGGTGGTGCCAGAATCATCTGGCATGTGAATAGAGTCGTCTAGTATATTGGAACCAGATGACAGTGGCCTCTTCTTCCTTGGCATGTCATTGGCAACAAGCTCATTAACAGCAGATAAATCAGAACTAAGTTTATGAGATTCAGAAGTCTTCCGTTTGCTACTGACTAACCCATCTTCCCTTTCTTTACCATTGACGGACAATGTATTGTCTTCTTTCTCTAACACACTGTCCTGGTCTTCTTTCTCCTTCTCTCTGTCTTCATTTGTATGTTTCTCATTTACAGTGTCTTTCGAACTTTCAGAGTCAAAATCACTAATGTGATTGTCAGTGTCTGTGGATATACTTCGGGATATGGAGCGCCGCCCAGCACCCGAACAGGAAATGAAATATGCAGCTGGATCTGGCTGCTGGTTGGTGGCGCACTGGTAGCAGAACTGAAGCCAGACTTTGTGGCAAGGCTCTTGAGCACCTCCCAGTTGAACAGGCAATGTTTCTTTAGGTATATATGAGCACAATTCAGAAATGCTGACTGTGTAAACCTGTGAAATTAATCATGTGTACCGATTATTCAGTGGTATGTTGTTTTCTAAATGGCAGGTTAATTATTTATAAGGTATGCTAATTACTTAATAGTATTAATGAGGTAGGATTATTTAAGAAGTGCAGAAATATATATATTAGAAGTGTACAATTTCATCCTTTGCAATGCAGGGGTGCCGGGTTCGATCCCAGCTGTACAGTTTCATCCTTTGTAATGCCGGGTTCGATCCCAGCTGCGGCCCTTGCACTGGTTTTGACAGTGGTATCGAGAAGCTGACCGTCCATTTAGCAATGGCAAACTACACTACTGGACGTAAACTTGTCTAGGAAAACCACAACAGCCAAAAAATGCTAGGGTTGGTTCTGCAACGTCCTGTAAAGGATACGCAACTAACTGTTTTATCAGAATAATGAAGAAGTAGAATATTTATTTAAGAAGTGGACCAAATTGGAAAAAATAAATAAAAGATGCAGAGATAGGACATTTTTTTTAAAGAACTGATTCACCGGTGAACCATTGGAGGGAGCAGAAAAAATCCAGGAGCTGGTTTGGTCATCATGCTACAAGATGGGACCACAGTGGAAACGTCATGTGCCTCCAGGAAACTCTCTACAAACTTTAGAGCAGAGCAAGAAATGCTGAATATAAAACAAAAACTGACTAGAAAGCTGAACAGAAGGAATGGAAAAGACGCAGACGAAGGCAAGCGAATGTTTCAACCAAAGTCTTTATCAACGGAATTGAGTTTTTCCAGTCATAGTTTGTACTGTCTCCTTTGTCTTGTCTGTTGAGTTTTTCAGTCATAGTTTGTGCTGTTTTCTAGTCAATGTTTGTGTTATATTCAGCATTTCTTGCAATCAGCTCGACTGCAGTCACCCCTTATTTACGTCATCACTTTAGCAATTATTGATGCAACCAAAGTGCTTGGGGGGAAAAAATAGCAAAATTGTTTTCCTGTGTATCTGCATGTCAGTCCTCCAGGCGACTCAAAGGGATCCACAAGACAACATGGAGAGAGAACTGACCTGCCAGCTAAACAGACTCTCAGAAAACAATCAAAACATTTGATAGTGGATCGCGGCTCACTGCGGTAAACCAGGAAATGGATTAGCAGACGGACTTGCAAAAAATGGAACAGAAATCAAAACTTTTATCAAGGAAAAAAAACAACAAGAAATTGTGGACAGAACAAACCAACAGTAAACCCCCAAAAGACCCTATCAGCAGACTCAGCAGAAAACAACATACAACAATTTTCTGTCTAAGAAGAGGACACTATAGGCTCAACTACTACCTGCATAAAGTATAGATTGTACAATCACCACAGTGTGCCTGTCAGACACGACCACAGACACCTGAGCACGTTCTGCTGACCTGCCCACTCTACCTACAAATTCAAAAAGAAACTTGGCTTCAAGAGAAAGTGCAGAGCAAGCTATGGGGAACCATGAAGTACCTGCACTGACATGCAATTTCATAGATGCAATCCCCCATATGGTCTGACCTGAGCATACAAAACCGAATGCAAAGAAGAAGAAGAAGAAGAAGAAGCAGATTTAAGAACTGGACAGAGAAATGAAAAAAAGATAAAGATGTAAGATATCTATTTAAGAAGTGTACACTGTATTCTCCAATTCTTTACTCCATCTATGTCTTCTCGGGAGCTACAGTGGTCTAGCGGCTAGATGCTCGCCTGCAGATCGGAAGGTTGTGGGTTCAGTTCCTGACGGGGGCCGGTCTTTTTTCAAAAATGACCTTGGCTCCCAGGTCGACCTCGCCTTGGGTAGTTACCATGTACAGTCCTGGGAAGCAGAGGCGGCCGGCATGATGCTGACCACATCACCTACCAGGTGCCTTTGGTCTATAAAAAATTAGGTCTAACCCTATATACTTGTTGTTGTTGTTGTTGTTATCGATCCAGCGGCGCATGAGCTTTCGCCCTTTGGCCCAATGCCATGTAGTGGAATTTGCATGTTTTCACAAGCTGTTCTTTTCCTCCGTACAAGGTGTTCCACTTGTCTGGTCTCGGAGGGAGTAGCGTTCTTCTTGTCTCACTGAGTTTTGGGCACTCAAAGAGATGGTGTTCAACAGTTTCGTAGGGGTAGTTACATAGCTGGCACTCTGGGGAGTGTTGTGGCTGTATTCTGTTTAGGTGTCCATTGAGTGGAGTATGTTGCGTTCTAAGTCTGAAGATGGTGGCCTGGTCCCTTCTTGTTAGATGGTTAATGCTGTCATTAGGATCAGGGCCAGACATATGTCTATGTTGTTGTTGTTGTTGTTATCGATCCAGCGGCGCATGAGCTTTCGCCCTTTGGCCCAATGCCATGTAGTGGAATTTGCATGTTTTCACAAGCTGTTCTTTTCCTCCGTACAAGGTGTTCCACTTGTCTGGTCTCGGAGGGAGTAGCGTTCTTCTTGTCTCACTGAGTTTTGGGCACTCAAAGAGATGGTGTTCAACAGTTTCGTAGGGGTAGTTACATAGCTGGCACTCTGGGGAGTGTTGTGGCTGTATTCTGTTTAGGTGTCCATTGAGTGGAGTATGTTGCGTTCTAAGTCTGAAGATGGTGGCCTGGTCCCTTCTTGTTAGATGGTTAATGCTGTCATTAGGATCAGGGCCAGACATATGTCTATAAACCTCTCTTCCAGTGTCTCCCATGGCCCATCTGTTCAACCAAGTCTCTTTGTTTATAGCTCTTATCAGTGTTTTTGCTGTCTGGAGGGTTGTCGCTGTAGGTGGTTGTTCTTGTGTTGCTCCTTTCTTTGCCAATCTGTCAGCTCTGTCATTACCTGGTGTGCCGGAGTGACCTGGAATCCACTGCATCACTATTCTGATGTTGTATGAGGTAATAAGCTGATCGGCATCCAGGATTATCTTGGCTATGTCAGTTCTGCAGCGTTCATTGCCCTCCAGAGCTTGAAGGGCAGACATTGAATCTGTGAAGATGACAATATTTTGGACCTTTGAGGGGTAAACATCCATTACAGTCTTTAGGTGGTATACTGCTGTTTCCAGTGCAATTATTTCAGCTTCATAGTTTGAACAGAATTCCCCGCATGCATCAAAAATCTCTTCAACAGATCCATCGGGAAAACCTATGTAGATTCCGTAACCTGCTTTAATGGTAGCTTTAAATGCTGATCCATCAGTATAGACATGTATCCATTCTTGGGGGTAAGAATCAACGGTCTTTAGTGATGAGTTCATAAGAGCGATTGGGTCGGACTGTTTGGTTTCCTCGCCTACCAATTTAGTTTGGACTTCTGGAGCTTTAAAGCGAGCATGTGGTGGTAGGTTTTTTGCAACATTCTGAATTCCTTGACGTCTTTCTGGGAGGTGGTATCTGTCCTGAATTTCATTAACACAGTGTAAAACCGATTTGTGCTTTATTCTTTGTTTGGGTTCCCAGTTTTCTACAAGATGTCTATTAGGATGGTTACGATTTTTCCTAACGCATCTTTCATAAATTTCTAAAGTGGCTTTTTCTCTCCGCAACCCGAGACCTTTTCTCCATACTCTGTCATAGGCCTGCTGGAGATCGACAAAGACTGCCACTACCCTATATACTTAATACGCCTCAACGGCATGGAAAAGGGTCCTTTACTTTTACTAACTCTATCTATATCTTCTCTCCTGCACCCCTAATAGGGTTGTAGTGCCCACAGTAGGAAACACTGGTCTAACCAACACCCAGGATAGTGAGAGAAAATGTTATTCTCCCATCCTCTAATTCATCTTTGTCTACACTGCTCCCGCATGAGGAGTCATTACTTCGAAGGGCATTTGAGGCTCCTACCACTTCCTAGTGTGTTCCACCACCTCACAAATGTGACTGATGAAGCCATCAACCTCTCAACTGCCCCAACACCTCTAAGGGGACGGTAGCACTACCATGGGAAGAAGTGGTGTAGGAGGCTCTTATCCCTCCCCCAGTTGTGACTTAGGGTTACAATTCGGACTACTGGCAGTCCTCCAAATCTGAAGGATGAAAATTTAATCCCCGGTTCTCTACTTCATCTTTGTCTCCATCGCTGCCATATGTTTATTCAGTGCCCTTCACTGCACCTGAGGCTGGAGGAACATGGTCTGGAACAGCCAGAACAATATGCTTACACTATTGATCACTTCTTTCTAATCTACAGAGCGTGTGCTCAGAGAAGAGAAAGTTAAAAAAAAAAATAGAAAAGATGAAGATGTAATTAACAAAAAGGCAGCACAATTACAACAGTTAACAGTCAATAATCTGCAAACACTAATATTCAAAAAGACATCTAGTACTTAAAAAAAAAAAACACATGGATAAAACAGCTTACATGATTTAGCGTAAATTTTACTTGAAAAAAAAAATGTGTTTGAAAACATTTTGCTACACAAAAAGTATGCAACAATACATTTCTTTAGCCTAACTGAACAAACTTGGAAAAAAAAAAGAGGAACAACATAAAACAAAACTACTTACCCTATCTCTTAATTTTTCTTTTACAAACAGTCGTAAAATCTTGAAAGGCGCTTTGAACCATAGGGGTGCAGTGACTATCAGAACTCGTTTCAATCGTGCTGGGTATGCACCCTAAATTTAAGAGAGAAAAAAGTAAATTTTCTGAAAATTGTCATTTATGACCTTAAATCTTCTAATGTCTACAATCAATTTGCATCTTCTCCTCGCGAGTTTCGGTGCTTAACTGTGGGAATAGGGGGATAAACTCACTGCCTCCCCCCTCATCCTCTTTTCAACATGTCATACAAAAGTCAAATAGGGTATTCCCTTCACTATCAGAGTGCATCTGCCTAAGAGGTGAGGAAATAACAGTCTGTATACACATTAAGATAAATCTCTAAAATGGATGTGAGTATAAAACTCAGGTTTTGGAACAAGATTAAAATCCAGAAGTGGATGAACAAGCAGAACTTTCTGCAGGAGCTTACAGTTAGCGAACATGAAGAAGAAGTATAACCTGCATCAGTTCAACAATTCAGAATTTTTTTCTGAGGGTATACATTTGTGCGAGGTGAGGAGTGGGTCAAAGTGTCTGAGCAAGTTTCAGACTTGTGTAGGGTTCTTATCACTTTGGGTCGTGAGTGCAGGGACTGGCCACCTGGTGCTGCAGAATCAGAAGTTCAACAAATGATTCATGACAATTCCCACCCAAGTGATGTGATTATTTATACAGATGGCTCTGTGTTGAGGGGCAGATGAAGTGCATGTGGATTCACAGCAAAAGTGAATGGACCTCGCTTAGTGCAACAAAGCCTGGCATATGAAACACCTAGTTTGAGAATGGAGGTGCAGGCAGTCACGCTGCATTCCGCTGGCTTGAGAATCAGCTGTACACACATGCGGTGATTGTAACTGACTCACAGAGCATGTTGAGAAAGGATGAGACAGGTATGCTCCGTGCAGAGTGGCAAGCATTACTTCAGAGATCCCTGGTAATTAGCATCCTTTGGGTATTCTCTCCAGATCATGCGGGTGTGTTGGGAAATGAGCAGGCAGATAGACTGGCCTGTTCTGCACCACTTGGTAGTGAAATGATGTATGACAAGCTAGACGTTGTGAGGGCCCTCTGGGAGCGAGTGAACAGTGCGGAAGTACAAAAAGGTCTAAGGAGAATGACGCTGTGAGGAGTTGCCAGGGGATCTGGCCGATGCTCGACACTCAAGGATCCACTGCCCCTCTAAACAGCGTATAAAAGTCCATTCATATGGATTGTTTCTTTCAAAGTCCAAGCGCATCTGCCTGAGAGGTCAGGAACCAAAGTCTGCACACAAATAAGCCAGATCTGTAAAACGGATGTGCATGCAAATCTCAAGTTCTGGAACAAGACCAAAGTCTAGAAGTGGACAAACAACCGTAACTTTCCGTCAGATTCTACAGCTGCTGAACGCTAAGAAGAATTAGAATCAAAATAACTTACCTTTAAGAGATTTAATATTTTAATGCTGAGGTCATAATCAAAGTTAGCATATTTTGATTCTGTCATGTCGTAGATAAACACCAGTCCATTACGCTGTGTTTCGATGCTGAAAAGAAAGCATGATTTTTCAGTTACATAAACATACAACTATCAATATACATGCTGGATTTTCCATTTTACGTAAATAGCAAATCCGTGTTTCTATTCCTTTTCACACCTTATTTAGTTTAATCTAAATATGATTTCAGAATACTATGGACAAAGATGAAAGTGAATACTGACATCCTTAAGATCTCACATCAAAGGAAGACTGGCTAGCATCTTGTCTTGAACAATGGATATATTTTGGCCATATGAAGCACTTTGGCAGATTAGAAAAAATAATAGAATCAGGGTCGTAGCAGAAAAGAGGGGCAGAGGCCAATCAACACAAAGATGGGCACAGGATTTAAGTGACACCTTGGGTAAGAAAGTGCACCACGTGGTTAACGCTGACGAGAGACTGAGATTCTTTCAGGCAGATGGTGATGAGAGTGATGTTCTGCAAAAGGACTTGCTACATGAAAATGATGATGATGATATCTGATCTACTTCATGGCTAAGCTACAAAGGTCATGGGTTCATTTCTCAGACTGCATTACTGGGTTCATGAGTTCAATTTTTTAGATAGCTCCCTGGGGATCTTCACTGAAGCTATGGAGTTTGTACTCTGTGAAATACTCTGATAAACTAGTCTTTCTATGGAGAGAGACTGAGCCATAGGGGATTAAACCCTGATGCTTTGAAAAACCTCTCAATTCTAAACCTTTTAACATTGTTTTATCTACTAATCTACTCAGAAACGTAGGTGCAAACCCCCAATAAGGTTGTGGATTTTTTGTCGGGGGCAAAAATTAAATCCTACCCTGCATAGTGTGTGGGGACAGAACTAGCCACGTGGCCTTAAATTCTCAGACTCAAAGACCCCTTCCACTCCGCCCCCACCTAAACTGCAAAAGTGGTAAATAGGTAAATACATGAAGTATTGGCAGATCTACTATTGACTTCATATCTCAAATAAATTTATCATTTTGTCAGTCAATTCAGTCAATCAACTGGAACTGTCTTCACAATGAAGATTACCTGCAATGGGTTTCCACCATTTTATCCCTTTTATGTATATGATATCATTTTGATACAAGAAAACAATAATGAATGTGAAAATGCCTTGAAATGCCATACAATACAGGACATACACAAAAAGAGGAGAAGGACGTAGAGCACAAGGCAGACCGTTAACAAGATGGAAAGATAACATCAGAGAAAAGTAGAGTCCTTCAGAGCACGAGGCAAATGGCTTGACCACTTCGTCACGGAGACAGTGAAGTAAAGTAACCAGTACAGGAACCGTATTTATGCCAGTTTCACAGCAGGCATATGATGCTAGATATTTTGGCACCCAATGAGTGACATGGTTACCACTGCGCCCACCATCTTCTTTTCCAGGACATTACCTGGTCCTAATTTTAATTTGACTTGAAAACCAAGGTTATTTGGAGGGGAGAAAAGAATCCGCTTCCATGCAGGTTTGAACCTTAGACCTTCAGCTGGCAGATGACAACTAGTCTTCTTTTTTCTTAAGAGTTCACAGGCTGTAAACTCCAGCAGAAAGTTCTGGTTGTTTATCCACTTTTGGGCTTCATTCTCATTCGAGAACTTTGTGTTTTGCATAAAAATCCATTCAACAGATCTGGCTTATTTGTATGCAGACTGTTAATTCCTTGCCTCTCAGGCAGATGCACTCCTGACTTTGAAGAAAACATTGTGACATGAGTCTCCTTATAAAACATGCTTGTTAGGGAGGCAGTGTTTCAACCTCTGGATGACAATTTTCTAGTGAGACTTCTATAGAACTGCGTGACAGTTAACTAAGTTTTATAGAAAACTATATAAACCTCTGAAAACAATTGAAGATAGTTTTCTCGTCAATTTTCTGTAAAACTACAAAACAATTCTCTAACGAGTTGTCTACAAACCCGCTTAATAGTTTTCTAGTGAGTTGTCAATAAAACTGCAAGACAGCTTCCCTGAGAGTTTTCTAGTGTAATACCTTTCCAAGGCAGCATCCAGCTGATAGATGAGAGACTTGAGCACCACCTGGTGAGTGGTCTGGGATGGGTTATGAAGTCTAGCAGAGAACAGTGCCACAGCTGCACAGCTTTTGTCTCTGCCAGGCTGAAAACATAGCAGATATGTTTAAAACTATGCTTTCTCATCAATAATTTAACTCAAGCAACTTTTCATGCATTTGTTGAAGTTACTAAACACACTCTGCCTTTATGGGCATCCTGTACCCTACCCAGCTTATTCAATAGTTTTTTGGTAAATAAGTAAATGACAGTTGCATGATTAGTACCCAAAAAAAATTACTTAAGAGCAGCAGACAAGTGGTTTTATACACAAATGATGATAATACCTGGATAGACTAAAAAGAGTAATGAAGATGTCTTGAAAACAACTGAGAAAGAGAACTAATTGCCCATATCAGAAAGAGACAATCTACAATCTTTGGTCATGTAATGTGAAGACGAAAACGGGAGTACATAGTGACAGTAGGAAAACTGAAGGGAAGGAGAGGCAGAGGAAGACAAAGAAAAGATGTTGGACAGTCTGACATCATAGCATGGAGGATCATCTGTGTCAGAGTTGACTGAAAGTACACGAGACAGAAGGTCGTGGATAGACATGACTACCAATGCTTTAATTTCTTGTGTCATAGTGTTATAATTTGAACTTTCCCAGGCCCACACACTGTTACTTTAAGTACTGCTTAGGAAGTAAGGCGTTAAGGAAACACAAGTTTGGGGTTGAAAGAGTTAACTCTTTCAGTCATAAACATCATACGTTCATAGTCTCCTACCTAGAAGCCTAGTGAATGCAAGAGGTGTAGATTTGACTACCCCTTTGTTCCTCTGGTGTTAAACCCCCTGGGACTGAAAGAGTTAAATGAAGGCACAAACAATATACTGCATAATTTTATTGCCTAGCATAATTCCATGTACCTCATCGGGTGCATTACTACAGACCTCCCAGTGAAATGACCGCCGAGTTCTGCTATTATCAGGTTTTCTCAAAATGTATTCCATCCAGCACAGGTGAGATTTCTTCAAAGTTGGCATGATGATCTCTATTGTTCAAATGTCAAAATACCTTCACACAGATGCAAAGGAGCTGAACCACAAGTTGGGAGGCACTAGAACCACGGATCATACAGTTCAAGATCAATCTGCACTTTTCCTCAGTCAGCCTATAAATAGTTTCCCTGCCTGGCCAGTGTAAATAGGATCAATGTTTACTTTGAAGTCGAAGTGCCCCTGTGAGAGAGACAAGGAACCAACAGTCTGCATAGAAATAAGCAAGATCTGTGAAAATAATGTGCACATAACACTCAATCCCTGGAATAAGACCAAGGTCAAAAGTGGACAAACAGCGAAGACTTTCCACCCGTTTACAGCTAATGAACATGAAAAGCAACCAAACAAACTTTATCTTAAAAGGGTCACAAATTGGTTTTGCAGGCCCGTCTTACATTCAGCCCTTCCAAACACCCATCTTTCACATAGCAGTTGAATTTTATCAATAAAGAATATTATGTTCATATAATAATAGGCATGTAATGAATATCAAGAAAGAACACAAAAGCATGGGTGGTAAAATGACTGCGCACACTCACATGCATACGCACACAAGCACTCACTTACACATACTTACATACACACCCACATACATACATAGAGGAAGAAGAAAAAGAAAAAAAAAAAAAGAAGAAGAAGATAGACACCTTTTAATGACAAATGTTGCACATGATAAAAACAGGACAAAATACCAACCAATATAGAAAATTTTTCTGTAGAAAGTTCTTTTTGCAGGAACCGATCTGAAGCGTCAATCAAAAGTAAATCTTCTTTTTCACGAGTTAACTGAAATGATCACATAACAATTTTCTGAAATATTACATGAAGATACCTAAAAAATTATAAGCTTTCATTATCATTAACAGGCTGCAGGTAGGTAGGTAAGTATTTGTACCCCACCAGGACATCACACAAGTGATAAACACCCGGTGACACAAAGTGCCACCATGCAGACGAGGATCACCTGTGGAGAGGTCCCAAAAACCTCTTTCAGCCGTCAGGCCACATCTATGGCTATGCCATATTCAGGGCCTCTGGCAGAAGCCAGGGTGGGGCTTCAAAAAACAAAAAAAATTGCATTCCACGAGGGGATGACTTATCTTGTAACAAGCTGCAGAATAAATATCAGCAGAAAGCAGTACAATGGCTTCCAACACATGGTGGTGACAATCACAGACTGTGCAGAGGCACTTTCACCCATACTAGTCAGCAAGGCATTCACTGATGATGACAACATGGTCTCGGGTTCAAACCTCCCATGACAATTTTTATGACTAACTGCAGGGTCAACTAAAGTTCACAGAACGAGCACCAGACAAATTGTCGATGTACCTGCACATTAAAGCTAAAAAAAAAAAAGGAGATGAATTATATGCAACTTGCAGGTAAGTAAAGGACCCTTTTTATGTGGGTAAAGCATAAGGCATATGTAGACTTTTTTGTAGATGAATCGGCACTCGGTAGGCAATGTGATCAACATCACACAGGCAGCCTTCACTGAAAAGAAGAAAAAAATCCGTTCTGATGCAGATTAAAACCCTTAGATCTGAACCTAAAGAGAAAAAGCAACAGCCTTCTTTGTTCATATGATGAGAACAGAACCATTAAGAAACATCAGGACAACCAGAAAGTCAGCAGTAGAAGAGGCGGTGAGAGACCAAGAAAAATAATTCTGGATGATTTCAGATGGCAGAGTTACAGATCCTTTACACACCGTTGCTGCCTAAGCATATGGTGTTTGACCTATATTTTTTTTACCGAGTAACCAGCAATCGATGGGTGACATGGTCATTCTTACTGTCCAGGACATTCTCTAGTATCCATTTTAGGCATCTGTGGCTTTGGTTTCGACAACGGTATTGAGAGTCAATCGATAAGGTTGCAGTTTAAAACTGCTGAACATAAATTTGCCTAGAAAAACCACAAGAGCCAAAAAACGCTGGGGTTGGATCTGCAACGTCCTGTGAAGGACATGCAACTTACTATTATTATTTTAGGCTGGGTCAACCTGGCAGCCAAGGTCGACCATGAAGAAATCAATTTCGGTGTAGATTTCAGGCGTAGACCGTCAGGCGAGCATCATCTAGCCACTACACTACTATGGCACCAGTCTAAAAATTACAGTTTAGAGCAGCGGTTCTCAACCTGTGGGTCGCGACCCTTGTGGGGGTCAAACGACTCTTTCCCAAGGGTCGCCTAAGACCATCGGAAAACACTATTCATTGAAGTTATGAAGTAGCAACGAAAATAACTGTATGGCTGGGGGTCGCCACAACATGAGGAAGTGTACTAAAGGGTGGCCACAACATGAGGAATGGTATTAAAGGGTCACGGCATTAGGAAGGTTGAGAACCACTGGTATAGAGGAATATCATCAAAAGCATTGATGTAGTGGACTGATATCTTCTTGTCCAGTTCCTCTTTTACTGCTTCAGGTGTCAAAGGAGATATAAAGTGCTACAACTTGCTCTTCTGGCTACTTCAACCAAACACACTGTACTGTTGCAGTGTTTCTCTGATGTTATCCTTCCATCTTGTTCTTAGGACTGAGATCTGCCTATACCCTTCAGCAAGTAACATGATGATGATGACCTTAAATGGCACCTCTTACTCTAGCAAATCAGCTTAAGAAACAGAGGTGCCAACTAAGACAATTACATACAGACCACATCACAGTTCAGAGTCATCTGGTTGAGAAATTATGCATCTAGCACAAAATTTTTGAGCCATGGTAGTGCATGCATGCAGGCCGGTGGCTCAGTGGTGAATCCCCAAGAAAGCGCCAAAAAATATGTCAACTAAAATTCATAACAGGAAATGTTATGGGAAGTAAAGATGGCTCGTGCAATAGTGACAGTATCAACTACTGAGCCTCAACACTTCCTCTTGTACTGCTTCGGGTGTCTAGGGAGATACAAGGTTCTGCTTCTTGCTCTTCTGGTCGCCTCGACCATAAACATGTCATGCTGCTGTAGAGTTTCTCTGTGTTATCTTTTTTTTTAAATCTCACTCTGAGCCTATCTTGTACTCTACGCCCTTCTCCTCTTTTGCTGTATGCTTTGTATGGTATGGTGTCACAGGGCATTCTCTGTATGAAAAATAAACATACAGGACTATTTGCTTGTCCCAAATTGTTATACTGCAATCAGCATTCAGTTTGTGCAGCACACCAAATCTGGCTGAGTGAAGCACTGGGCTCCCACTGGCTCTCAGGCTGGAGACCAGGGTCTGATCCTCGATAAGGCATAGGCATATTTTCAGTCACAATATTTTTTTGCGACTGCACTAGCCAAGCAGTCTTTAATCCCTAGGCTCACGACCCCCTAATCAACACTGCTCTAAAAATTGTAAATAAAGGCAATAAAGACCGTTTAAACCACACCAAAAAATTTAAAAAGGACCTTTACTATCCCTATGTCTCAAAAATCCTGTATGAAATAGAAAGAGGGTCCTGTAACTTATGTATGTAAGGAAACAACTTTTAGAGTATGAGATGCCGTCCAAGATAATATCTGTATAAATATAAACTGTTTCATAGCAATTGTAAATGTCTTAGTTATTGTGACATACTGTTCTATTTTAGGGTAAGGAAGGAAAGAGAGAGGGAGAGAAAGAGAGGGAGAGAGAGAGAGAGAGAGAGAGAGAGACAGACAGACAGACAGACAGACAGACAGACAGATAGAGAGGGAGAGAGAGAAATACAGAGAGGGGACAGAGAGAGACTCAGAAGGAAGGAGACAAAGAGCGAGACAAATACATACTTTATTTTTACTTTCAAATATTTAAAGCCAGCCACATGAACGGTCAAAATGGTTACCTCATGAGAAAAAAATAAATCTATAGCTCTTTTCAGATCAAATTTGCGAGCCATAAGAAACTTGCAGCCCGTACTCCATGATACTGGCGATCTCTTGCGACTTTCCTGACAAATGTTGATTTCTTCTAAAAACTGCTGAATAATCTGAGAGATAATCAAACAAAATAGGTACTTTCAGCAATTATCTATAATGTAAAAGAAAATCATATCTTCTTCTTCTTCTGTGTACTCTGGACACAACTGTGTGATGCCCATTTAAAGCATGGCTGATATATGTGCACCTTTCAGCCAACACAACCAACTTCTTCAGGCATCTGTTGCTACAGTTGACCTTTCTGGTAACCACCCATTCAAGAAATGAAAAAATAAAAATACTGTTCGTAAAACAAAATATGGGGATGAATATGCTGTGTATAAGGTTTTTTAAATTTTTTTATGATGGTCAACTTCAACTTTCTTAACAGGATGCTGTTTGTGAGCCAGTTCTCCTTGATTATATACTAAGACTCATTTAAGAAAGGCATTTGTGATTTTTCATAAAGGCTACTGTCAAAATCAGACAAAACTGGTAATAATTAAGGAGCAAGACCCTTTTTTCTCTGAAACACAAAATTGACTACATTCGAAGGGTGAAAAGCATTTTATTTTGTCTGGATATTTCTGGACTTACTGGTTTATAACTCTCGCTTCCACAAATCTCAGTAATCTACAGTTGGTTGAATTGTAAATAATTAAAAATGCAACTTCTTTGTTTACAGTGCCCAGAATTCAGAATTTGAAGGATTCATTTATGTACTCCATGTTAATCAATTGTTACTGTGGTATCAAACCTGACGAGATACAGCGAAACATGCCAGGCAATAAATTGTGCAATCTATTGTCTGTGTCCTCTTTGTTCAAAATGGAAAAAACACTGCTTTGAATTACTGCCACTATGTCTATTCCATGACTGCTACTTATTACTATACTACTACTAGTCTAATTCTATTACTACACTACTCTACTACCACTACCACCTATAATAATATAAAAATATAATTACTAATTACTATGTAACTATACTAATCACTACTGTACTACTGATGTAATGAGCAATTATTACTAACAGTCACTTCCTTTTATGATGATAATTTATCAAAGAGAGTGATAATTCCCGAATTACTTAATTATTATGTTGAATATTAATTTAAATTTTAATTATGTGGAAATACATTTCTGTGTCAATTTGCAGATAAGATTAGGAAATAAAATTAAAAAAGACAAAAGGGATGGCTTTCAAACCAAAGTAGTTACAAGTAGTTGAAGTTGATAAATAATTATTTCATAATATATGACAATAAACTGAAACATTGATAGAAATGATAGATTCATAAAGATTTAGAATGCATGACAGATGACTATTTTTTTCATAATTTAATTTAAAAGTAAGTTTAAGTTTAATTAAAAACTGAAAGCAAAAAACGGTAACAGTAACCCACTTACTTTGGTTAACACTCCAATGTATCCTTAAAATGGTCAAATCATAATAACTAAAATAAATCATAACATTAAGCCTACTTCTATATACCTAAATTTCCTGTTATTCCGATTGAAATAAAAAATAGTTAATACAATAATTATTAAACTTTTCCCAACCTTCTCTTCCTGCTCTGATAATTCAGCGGCCATATTTCCTGTTGCCATCAATAAGAATGTTGTCGATAGGTAGTCGTAATAAAACCAACAAGTAATTTTTACCTTTTTTAAAGCCGTTTCTTTTAGCAAATCAATATTATTCACTTTATATGGCAAGTCTAATATTTATCAAAGCCAAAACTGAATTTAGACAGCTCAAGACAATAGCAGAAGTGAATATTTTTCACAGCATTTGACGTCACTGTTTATAAACGCCATATTTAGACAGGGATTCACAAAGAGTGAACTCAAGTTGAAATCTCCATGACATTTTTATCAAACTTGTAAACTTTGCTTCATCTGACGCCAACAGTTGACAGTTGCATTTGTTTTTTAAGCTTACGATGGCGCACAGCCCAGCAGGGAGCGCTGTGAAAGCTCTACAACTTGAACTAAAGAAGATTCAAGCTGAACCCGTGGAAGGATTTCGTGTGAAGTTGGTCAATGATGATAATATTTTTGAGTGGGAAGTGGCGATTTTTGGTCCTCCAGGGACTCTCTATGAGGGAGGATACTTCAAGGTGATATTTATACATATATACAGTAGTGAAGCAAAAATTTATTTTAAGAAAATATTCAATAATTAATGTACTTGTATAGTATTTTCATAAGGTATTTTATTTGGGGATCTCCTCTCTGCTCTCTCTCCCTCTCTCTCCCACTCTCTCTCTCTCACGTACAACACACATAATGTAACATTGTTCCAGTTCCACATTTTCAACATTGTAAAGTTATGTTTGTGCCATAATAATAATAATGTTACAAAATCTATATGAATACTATACTTTCTACGATTGCAGTATTTACAGCAAACAGTAACTTGTTTTCCTGTAAGTTAGTTACAAAAGATTTAGATAAAACCAAATGATTAATAATATATGCATAGTCAGTAGTCAAAATAATAATATACATTACTAAACTCCAAAATATAGACTCTAGTCATAGTTAATTTTAACCAATACAATAAGCCAGAAATAACTCGAGGAAAGCATAAACCATAAAAGATAGTCTTGTGCATATGCTAGCAAGTATCACAATCAATCGATCAGTTTGTCTTCTTGGTCTAGATGGCAGACCAGCAGGGCAGATCCCATATACCCTGTACAACCTTCTAAAATGTTATAATTAGGGCTTCTGTGACAGCTACACAAGCCGGGTGTCACCTGTAGTTCCATGCAGGAAAAGTCCATGTATTACCAGAAGGGGCCTTAGCTTACATAATAGAAAAGCAGAAGTAATGGTGCCAAAGAAATCATGTCTGGATGCAGTTACAGTAAGAAAGATGAGGCAGAGACGGGCTTCTGTTGTCCTTGAGCATAAACTGAGCTGGCAGAAGATCTCGGAGTTGTTGGTCCTTAGAGATGCAGTACCCACAAATCCTCTGGCTTCTATCAACTGGCTCCTGCTGACGAGCCATGCTCCTGACGTCACTGGGTCAGGCTAACAATGCATTAACGCAGCGGTTCTCAAACAAGAAATAAACTATTTTCGACAGTGGCGAGGGAAGACAACTGTAATTTTAACTTTTAAGTATCTACATGCCTTCTTTAATAATTTCACAATTTTTAGCCAACTTTTCTTGATTATTGCCGCTGCACCCCTGTCATACTCTTACGGCACCCAATTTGACAACCGCTGCTTTAATGCATTGAAAGCCACGACCCGATGACGTCAGCAGCATGGCCTGCCAACTGGAGCCGGTCGTGTATCAGCTCACCCCCAGTGCATCAGTTAAAACATTTATCAAAACTCCTTTGGAACATGAGTAATGCCCGCTAGATGAATATTCTACTAAATGACAACCCGTGTTTAAATTCTGGTGAGTGGAAGAACTACTGAACTGCTGAGACTTAGCCCTAGACCAAAAGATTTGCTTGCAGCTTATATGTGCACCATCTCCTGCGGGTAGTATCTCACATTACAGTCCTGTCTTCATACATCTTCTCTCAAGCCTCAACATCATTGCCACCACATTGAGCTACACCATGCCAATCTGCCTCTGTCAGTCAGCTGACTAGGCTCAAATGTCCATCAGAGACATGTCCTAGGGCAGCATAGTCTTAAATATCCAGCCGTCAAAAGTCCTACTTTTTTGGGCAGGAAGGCTTTACCATCAGCCCTACTTGACAGAGTTTTGAGACTTAATAGGAAAAGCCATGGCTGTTGCATGCTTTTCCATACTGTCATGCTAATTGTCCACATGAAGCAACATTAAAGTTGTCTAACGTGCTGGAGAAGAACGTACCTATTTGTGTGATCATCAAAATCCCAGATCTGCAGCTTTGAATAAGTGGGAAGCTCAACATAAGGATATGAGGCAAGCAGTCATGTGTAGGACATGACGATTTCTTGGGAGAACACAGGACCAGAACATCATGTGTCAGCTCTGCATTTATTGAAGCCTCCTTGGATGGCTGGGAATGCCCATGATATGCCCTTGCCTTCCCTTGAAGCCCCCCCCCCCCCTTTCCTTGAGGGCCGGCCAGTCTGTAAGCGGTTGCCCTGGATGGGTTCTCCTGGGACAACACCTGCATATAAGGGGACAAAGAGAACACCACACACATAAGGCTATGTTGTGTCCTATGGAGCTATTCAGGAGGTTAACTTGGTCATCAAATACTCAAAGTGGGATGTGTCAGCTGAAAGGTGCAAATGTTGCAGCTTGCTGTTAACAGACATAACACAGTTACATTGTTGGAACAAACAAAAAGAAGAAGAAGAATTATCTTTAAACACATTGGGCCTTTTTAATTATGTAGTATGATAAACAAATTAACGTGTATTGATTGGCACTCGTAGATGTAGATAAAAGAAGTAGGGATACGATACAATAGACCAGCGTTCTTTAACCCATGTGTCATGGTCCACTGATAGGCAGAAAAGTCCAGCTGGGCTGCACAAAAATTCTATATAATCATGTAACGTAGATGGATTTCTCTTCCAGTTTGTAAGATTACTCAAGGACATTTTGTTTAAGAAGACTTTCTCAGTCATGTCAATTATAAAAACCAGCGAAATCAAATGGATGTTACTGCAGTGCTTCGTCTATCAGAAACTTCTTTTTCTTCTTCTTATTTGTTTACCGGCTCTAAGTTCTGGCAGAAAATCCTAGTTGTTTGGCCATTTGAACTTTGGCTTTGTGCCAGGGCCTGAGTTTTGTGTGTACATCCGTTTTACTGGCTTATTTGTGTGCAGCTGGTTGTTCCTTCTTGCTCGGGCAGATGCACTCCAACTTCGAAGGAAGTCCCCAATTAGTCTACTCCTATAGCATGCTAGTTGGGGAGGCAGTGAGGTTTTTTTTCTAGTTTTTCTCACAATGGAGCCCCGGAACCCACACAGAGAATCTATCAGAAACAAAACTGCAGCCACATAGGCCATATATTTGAAACAGCATCTTCTTCATTAGCTGGTTTTACACATAAACTTGTGTCTACATTTGTTTTTGTTTCTGTGTTGGGTTAGCTGTCAGGTGGACTGTAAAACAGTTGTCCCCTGTTTTGATGGGCTGCGGGTGTACACAGGTTGAGAAACACTGCATTAGACAGTATACTCCTATCTCTACTTTCCAGGCAATTTATATCTGTAAATTACTGTTAACCTTGCGATATCATATGAAATGTATCCACACTGCTTAATGACTACCTGTGTTTGCTGTGTGATAGTGTATGAATCATTGAGACAAGTTAATCCCTACCCTTAATATAGCAAGTTCGAATTAGCATTTAGAAAACATCTGGTTAATGGAAAAAAAAGCATTCAGCGTTTTTTTTGTTTTTTGTTTATTGGTCATAAATACAGGCTGTTAGCTAATGACCATTTATGGAAACGTTTTGTAAAGTTTCAGCATTGAAATATTTTGCCTTTGTCTCTATTTATCTGTTTTATAAAGTTGAAAGAGGTATCTGAGACTGTTCCTTGTTTCCTTGACATTTGAAATGCGAATCATTGGGTCTCTGTTGTATAAAGCTGATATCAAGGAGGTGATGAACTGATACATGACAAGGCAAATGTGGTCAAGGGCCTTTAAGAACAAGTAACGAAGTCAGGAGAGAAACTCGATTATTATGACCTGGAGAATAAAGCACCTAGGTGTGACCAGAGGGTCTGGCCAGCTCACTGAGTTCAGAGGAAATGCAAGATGGACATAAAACCAGACTACGACTGGTACCATCAGTATTGGAACTCTGCGCTGGCTGCTGAAGATAGAGACAGAGCGTGTGTGGGAATACCCCGAGTGCTGTTATGTCAATTCTTGACAACTCAACTCAAAGTATGAGTCTAGCACAGTGCCCAGTGTGCCTCTAGGTGTTAAAAGCCCCTAACGTTTTTATTTACAAACATAAATTATTCTCTTTCTTTTCAGGCACACATGAAATTTCCTCAAGATTATCCATATTCACCTCCAAGCATTCGTTTTATTTCTAAAATGTGGCATCCAAATGTTTATGAGGCAAGTAAATGTTTTGAGGCAAATGTTTATTTATTATATCATACCTTTCTCATGTGCTGTTTTCAAATTCCGAAAGTCTGTATTTGTGTAAAGGTGACTGAATACAAAGTGGGTAGAGCTTTGGTTTCTTCTTGCTTTCAAGGTAAATCTTTGTGATTATGCAAACTGAAGCAGGAAACAAATGGACTATGAAATCAAGGATGTCCAAGAGAAACTCTAAGATGAACGTTGGTGAGAGAGACCAAAGATGCTGAACTGGATTCCATCCATGTTATCGAGAGGATTACGCAGGATAGAATGAAATGAGAGCTATACTGCAAACTGTATGTGAATGATGTATAATGGCACAGCAGGATCATAGTGAAGCTCCATGGCCATTTCATTATGTTTACAGTAACTGTTCATACCTGTACGGTAACGATTGCTGAGAGTGTTGAAATGGTGGTTGGTTTGAGTGTTTATAGCATACCTGAGTGATTCCTCTGAAATGATGTTCATATCTTCTAAAACAATAAAATTCTCATAAATTTTGTGTTCACTCATTAAGTGCCAATAAACTCACTGCACCTTTGTGGGGTTTTACATACATATGCCACATGCAGTTGTTAAACTAAGTCATGCGTTTGTAACGTTCAGTATAAGTTGTGAAAAGTTCTAACGATTTCGCCCAGTAAAAATACCCTATTCCCCCCTCCCCCCCATCCTAAGCAAGAAGAAAATGGGCAGTTTTTATATTTGTTAAAAAGAAACTTTCTCACAATTCTCTAAAACTAAGCTAAGAAACTCAAGAAAGAGAAGTAGAAGAAATTTTGAGTTTTTGGGCAGTTTTTACAAACACCCAGCACATCTTATTGCTAGGCCACCGAGCAGACAGTCAGGTGTGAGATCCACAGCTACAGTGTGGCCATCAGATCACTAATATAATTCATATATATTTGTATAATTATTTTTTCGTGAATTTTTTTTTTTTCAATTAAAGAAGATTAATAGACCCAGTACCCACCCTCCACACTCACACACACACACACACCCATGCGATATGATGTTGTAATTGGATGTGCTGGTCTGAAAATCGCAGGTATCACAACCCCTAGCTGTAAAGCATGATACATCATGTCAGCCATCCTGTTGAAGGTGAACACTGAAAGAATAAGAACAACAGCTGGTCGACTGAGAGTAGCCCACAAAACATGACACTCTGCTGCTCTTGTGGCAACCTTGTGGATCTCTTAAGCTTCTCTTAGTCACCTTTTTTGTCATGCTTGTTAGGGGGAACAGTGAGTTTGTCCTCCTTCTCCCCCCCCCCCCCCCCCCCCCCCCAAACGCGCGCACAGTGGTACCCCAGTACCTACACATGAAGCTTTCATTACGACCTCAGAGATCTCAAAAGACACCTGCACTCATAAAGTGAATAATAGTCCGACACCAAACCCAGAGACATCAGTATGTGAGGCTTTTAGCTTCAGCATAAAGAAACTACAAGTTAACTTTTTTGTTTTGTTTTTAAATTAAATGTATCTGTGAGCAACCTGGGGTCTTAATTGTATAATGTATTATTATACTTTTAGAATGGTGAGGTGTGTATTTCCATCCTGCATCCTCCCATTGATGACCCGCAGAGTGGGGAGCTGCCCTCTGAACGCTGGAACCCCACTCAGACTGTCAGGTTTGCACAAATTGAGAACAAGAGAGAGTGGAAAATGCATGAATAATTTTGATGACTAAATAAACATAAAATGCAACAAGGAAGCTTGATTGAGGCAATGACAGGCAGATAACACACAGATAGTTGCCATTTTATGTTCATTGTATCATTGTTTTGTATAATCTTAACAGCGGTTATCTGTAGATTTTAAGGAATAATTTGAGTTCATGAATTTATCGATTGGTTTGTACACTCCAATCTGGATGGTAGACGAGGGCGGAGACCTTGTCCAGCCTCAAAAGGAGTTATTATTAGGGCACCCAGAATGGTTACACCAGCCAGGTATAACCTGTAGTTCTATGCAGGTGGACACACAAGTTCGTTAAGAAATCTTGGAAATGTAGCTTTCTGTGAAGAAATCATGTCAAAGGAAAACAAAGGTGTTTAGTTCACAGTGGGGTCATCAAATCGAAGACAAGAAGAATCGGAATTGAATCAATACAGTGAAATGAACTTTAGAGATCAGTATGGTCAGTGGTTATAAGTTCTTTATGTGGCATTACTCAGTGAAATCAAGATGTGTCATCTTTGTATTTGGCACATTCCTACGCACATACGCTGTCTCCTTCTCCAGTAGCCTGTGAAGAGTTCCCATACTGAAAGTTGCCAGTTGCAACCTAATTAAAGCATTTTGCTTTGTGTTGTGGAAATCATCCAGACCCTGCTACTTGTCAATAAAGAATTGAATTCATTTATGCCAGCTTGACCGTAGTCACCCCCATTTCTTTCAGTTGAAGACAGTTGGTCGAGGTTTCAACATCACCGCTATCGGGTTTTCCCATACTTGCTCCGTTTGTGTTCCAGTGCGAATCCGAAATGAAATGTCCCTCACTGTCGCATATGAAAAACAATCCAGAAATATTTGCCAGCAGTAAATGCGTATTTCAGTTGCTCGAGGCGCCAAAGCCAACAATCGCCACTAGAAATGCAGTTTTTCGTTGATGGAAGTAGTCGGGCATGATAAGTTGGTTACTGTACACTTCCTGCAGTTTTGCTCACTCCTAGCTGAACTGATCTCTCCAGATATAGATACATATAGATATAGACACCCTGTTTTGTTGCACTATCCACTTGATCCCAGAGAGCCTTCAAAACATCCCCTATGTCATAAAGTAGCTTGCCGCTTCTTGAGGAATGAGTGCTCATGTAGTCCCCATGTTTGCTTTCTGTTATGGTTTAATTTCTTGTGAATTGAATGTTGTTTGATAGTTACTGTTATCTTTCTGTTCAGATTAACTTTATTATGTGGATTGAAGTTTCTTCCATTTTCCACATGGAAGTTAATCTTCAGATAGTCAGCATGTTTTCTTTCTATTCACATAGGCTGTATTTATCCCTGAGGCTTCATAACATAAATTTAGAACATGTGCTGGAGACTGGTGTTATTTAAGCATCTATATTTACTGGTGAAATAATGCCAATCCAGATGAGAATTAAAACTTGTAAGCTTCACAGTAATACCATCACAGAGGATAAAATCAACACTGTGGCTAGAAAACCTTTATCAGCATACAAACTGACATTAGATAAAAAGTTAAAGTTTAGAAGATTGACTTCATTGCACCGGGTTTAATCCTAAATAGCTCAGTCCCTCTCCATAGCTCTGGCAACGATCCCCTGGATTTTCAGTAAAAAATTGCACTCGTGAACAAGGCACAGCTGTGAAACAAACCTACGACCTTCAGGGTGCGAGGCAAGAGGCTTGTCCACTTCACCGTGAAGACCCTCTAGACCAGTGGTTCTCAATCTTCATAATAAGGTGACCCTTTAAAACACTTCCTCATTTTGTGATGACCCCCCAACCATACAGTTATTTTCGTTGCTACTTCATAACTTCAATGAATATGTCTTTCCCGATGGTCTTTCGACCCACAAAAGGGTCCCGACCCATAGGTTGATAACTGCTGCCCTAGACAGTAGTATTCACTGGAGGATGACTGCTGTGCAGTTTGATGTGATGAGGGTGCTGATCTTATGGCTGGAATAACATTAGAACACCAGAATGTCTCCCCCATGTGAGACATTTCACGATTGTTATAGAATAGAAGTTAGCATTGAAAAAGGCAAGACACTGGTGAATGACTACAGGGAGCATGAGACTGCCAGTATTTGTGGCAGATAAAAAATCACTAAAAGTGTGTACCTCTACATCTAGTCAAGATTGCCTCATCTGTAATGACTAGGCTGAATCTTTTAATGGACAAGCATCACAAAGATCAAACTTAATAAGTCATGTGTGGTATATATTTGTTAATATAGTCTTGCCTGTTGGACTCACTACAGCAGCAGAATCTAGGAGTACCCAATTATTTTAATATAAATGCTTTAGTGCACTTAGCAGAAACTGTATGAAGGGCATGATTCAAATGTTTATATTGGAGATAGTGTAAATGTTTGTACTGGCCATCAAAATCTTTGTTAATCACTGATGAACTGTCAAAAACTTGCATCGATGCCAAAAGCTTGCATGGTCTGGGCACATAATTATACACTCTGGGGATGCAGAAGTGCTGAACCACACGTAGTGGTGCACCAGCACCAGAGCTCATACTGATCAAGGTCCATCTTCGCCTTTTTTCCATGATCATCCTAGAAACAGGTCCCCAGCTGGGAGTCTAGCCAACATAGATAGGATTTATGTTTCCTTTGATGTCGGGGTGCCTCGGCTTCAGGGTCAAGGAACCAACAATCTGCACACAAATAGAGCAGAATCTGTAAAACATGTGCAGACAACACTCTGTCCTAGAACAAGAGCAAAGTTCAGAAGTAGATGAGAACCAGGACTTTCTGTCAGAGTTTATAGTCGGTGAATGCGAAGAATAAGAGTTAAATACCCTCAAAGGTGAATCCTTCAGGGTCCTTTGAGAACAAATTGAGAAGGGAAAAACTGGGAAATAACAAGACTGATAATATTTAAGAGTGGGCAGGATAAAGTATGTTGGTTTGTTGTTTGGAAAGGTGGATTCAGAGGGAGTTTTAGAGGGGGCATTGCTCACATAAATATGATTTTTTTTTAAAAATTCACGCTTAAATTTACAAATGTGGGATGAAAATAGTCATTGTTATATTTGGATATACCACATAGAGGTGTGATATATGAAAACAAGCAGTTACTTTAGTGTCCTGGATTTGTTATTCACTTGAATGGATTAATTTATTTGCACAATATTATTTAATAATGATAATGCACCTGATGCGATACATCAAAATGTGCAACATGTTCTTTGTGTTTTCTGTGTTCAAAAACAGCTGTGATAATGCTTGTGTATTGTATAGAGAATTATCATGACGATTAATGTGTTTTCTCCTCAGAACCATTTTGCTTAGTGTGATTTCATTGCTAAATGAGCCCAACACATTTTCCCCTGCAAACGTTGATGCTTCAGTCATGTACAGGAAGTGGAAGGAGTCCAAAGGCAGAGAGAAAGAGTATGAAAACATTATCAGGTCTGTATTGTTACTGTTCCGCTTCACAGTGTGAGAGAGAGAGAGAGAATTGTGTTGAAGAATTTTGGGTGCTTTATTAATATCCTACCATAAGTGACATCACAGGACAGTCCAACATTTAAGAGGGTGGTAAGACTGGGTTTTCCGGCTTTCTGATGTTTTTAATGACCCCAAAACATCTAGAACTGGCCCTAACCCCAATCCATCTAAGTCCCACAAGAGAGTGCAGCCTAGGTCCCATGACTGCATGCAGCCTAGGTCCTATGACTGCATGCAGCCTATCTACCACCCCCTGAAATATTAGACTGTCCTGTGACTTGTGGATTTTCCCTGTCTGGAGTAGGATATTAATAAAGCACCAAATTTTATAATGGTGCAGATTTGTGGCTTAGGCCAGGGCTGTTCAATTAAGTGTACTCAGGGACCAAAATTTTGGAAATGAGGATCGTCGTGGGTGAGAGGCCCGAGCTCCAGTATAGAAAGATAATTAATACAGTACAACTAGTAATGATCTGCGTGCCACTTGCTCGAACCGCTATTTGAATAGCCTGGCTTAGACATTAGTGAATGATATGAACAATTTTATGATCTTTGAGTACTGGAATTTTATTTACACTGTGGACAGTTTGAAACAGACAAACAAAATGCTGTCATGGTTTTCAAACAGTAGGATGAGAATCATAAAACGGTCACTACTATCTGTTTTACCACTTTTTAGGGTGGTGTAGACAAAGGTGCCTTGAGCACGAGGATTTAGGGCCACCTGGCCAGTGCTGTTGCCAGGGACTGTGCAGATTAGAATGTTTAATTTTGCCCCTGTCAGAAAAACCCTGTCACCTTACCGGGGGTCGTACTCATGTCTTCCGCATGAGAGCCCGTCGTCGTAACTGCTCGGCCAGCCACTCCTTGGGCTGAGAGTCACACCCTGGGAAAAGACTAGGGTTTCAGTACGTCATATTCCTAAAGATGGCAGCAGGGATAACTGTAGCCAGCCCTCACTGTATACATGGCACATATTTTGGGGGTTTAACTTTGCAGCGAAATTACCTGAGAGCTGTTGGCTGTTGAGCTAAGAACCGAAATCACAGCACTCAGGACATTCCCATAAGCGCTTCATCCTCATCTTCAGCAGCCAGTCAAGGGTTCCAGTTCTGATGGTGCCAGCAGCAGTTTGATTATGTGTCCGTCTTGTCTTTCCTCTGAGTGTAGATCAGGCACTTTGGTCACTCCCAGCGGTACCATCCTCCCCAGACCGTAAAGATCTGTTCGTGCCTCTCTATTGTTCATGTAATATTTTTCATTTTGTAAAATTGATACAGAACCAGCCAGTCTGTCTTCCTGTTCATTTCCCGACACCATGCATGCCCCGGAGAAAATAAAGACCCAGCCTACCTTAAGTACCAGGAAATTTCATAGTAATGCCTGGTATTGACCACATCAGTCCTTCAAGTGTCGGTCTAAAAGTGTGGGGCTAGCATCATATACACCAGGGCTATTCAACTGGCGGCCCGCAGGCCATATTTGGTCTTTGCTTTTTGTTGAAAACTGTGCCCCCCCCCCCCCCTCCCTTTTTAACCCTACCCCGCAACTATCTTGAAATTTGTCTCTCTCATTTTACTGCTATTCCTGATGGAGCCACACTTTCTTCAGAAATGACCTGGGCTTCTAGGTCGACCTAGCCTTAAATGGATACCAGGTAAAGGCTGTTGGTGTGATGTTGACCCCATCATGCACAGAGTGCCGATTGGTCTGTGAAATAAAGCTCTGGCCCTACATTCCCATTATGCCTGAAGATGTGGAAAAGGGTGCTTTTTTTTCACTGTGCACATTTGATCTGTCTCATAAAGATACTGTTCTGGTTTGGAGGAAATCTACACCGTCATTCTGTCTAATGGATGCCATCCATTTTTATGGCTCTTTTGATTTGAACAACACTCATGTGATTTAAAGAATTTCAACAAACTGGTGCAGAATATGAATATTAAATTAAAAGTGTTCAAAACTGAATAAATATGAGATATGTGTTAGAGAGAGCAGGTGTGACTTTAAAGATGAATCTACGACAGGTCCGGTAGACTGTCTGCATAGTGACACCTGAGAAGAATTTGGGTGTGTTCTTGCGTGCAAATCACCTTCACCAAAAATTAAGATCAGCCTAATGTAACACGTTAGAAAGTATACACTGAAATTCCTCATATTCACCGGGAGCACCTCGCTGAGGTAACTGAAGGAAAAGAGAAGAATAGATGTTTAAAAGTCATCTAACATATCAACAACAAACAATAGTGAGGTGAAAAATTAACAAAAAAATGTGTGTCTGTGGTTTATAGATTAAGGAATGCAGTTTACAATGTCATGTTCTGCCAATGCTAGGTTTCTTTCTCCACATAAATGGTTTAAAACAAAACACACACACACCCTGTTTTTGAGGTTTTGTCACAGTTGTACAAGAGTCACACCATGGAAGAGATTAGGGCCTCACCAGAGACAACAGTGGTACACTGTGGCCAACCTCCATTTTAGAGACAGCACATAACAATGTATTAACTGTATTTGCCTAGGGTCCTGATCATAATTGATTGTATTTGCCTAGGGTCCTGATCATAATTGATTGTATTTGCTTAGGGTCCTGATCATAATTGATTGTATTTGCTTAGGGTCCTGATCATAATTGATTGTATTTGCTTAGGGTCCTGATCATAATTGATTGTATTTGCCTAGGATCCTGATCATAATTGATTGTATTTGCCTAGGGTCCTGATCATAATTGATTGTATTTGCCTAGGATCCTGATCATAATTGATTGTATTTGCTTAGGGTCCTGATCATAATTGATTGTATTTGCATAGGGTCCTGATCACCAGTGCATGTGACTAAACTATTTCAGCCCCAATCAGTGCACAATTTCAATTTTTTAGATAATTATTAAGATCGTAAGCAGACATCTAGCATTCCTAGTGGTCACTTCTGCCATGTGATTAGCCTCTTTGTGGTTGTAAGGGGACTCCGTGGCGAAGTGTTCAAGCCATTTGCCTCACGCTCTGAAAGTCATGGGTTTATTTCCCGGCAGCATGCAGTTTTTATGGAGATCCCTGGGGATCTTCCAGTTCTCGTCTGATCAATAAAAATGTCAAATGACGATGGAAAAGGACCTGGGGATCTTCGTCGTAGCTGTGAAAGTCTTGCTCTGTGCGATCCTGGACTGAAAGAGTTGAAGGTATCTCAGAGCATCTGACATGATATGTTTTAGGCTGGATGATCTGACATGAAAGTTCACATTTTTAAGAGCATGCATCTTTCCCATTGCAACATACGCCTGTGAGACCTGGACACTTACTAAACAAGCGGAACAGCGCATAAATGCATTTGAATATAAATGTTACAGACAGGTTCTAAGAATATCTTGGATAAGGAAAAGAACAAATGCATCCATACTTCAAGAGCTGAATATTGAAGAGGGTTGGCTAGTAAAGACAATAAAACAAAGAAAATTGAAATATTTCGGTCACTTGAAACGTCATGGAAGTCTAGAGAGAACAATAATGGAGGGGTATATGCCTGGGAAGAGAGGAAGAGGAAGGCCAAGGAGAAGATGGGTGCAGGATGTGGCAGATGATCTCCAGATGGGTGTATCAGACGCAGGACATCTTGCTTAGGATAGGAAGGTTTTCCGGAGGGTTGTTATGGCAGCGAGGTTCCGTGAGGGACATGCTACTGAATGAATGATCTGACATGATGTGTTGGATATGTTTTAGGCCGGATGATCTGACATGATGTGTTGGATATGTTTTAGGCCAGATGATCTGACATGATGTGTTGGATATGTTTTAGGCCGGATGATCTGACATGATGTGTCCATTTGTATTTATTCAGGAAACAAGCTCAAGCCACAAAAGAAGATGCAGAAAAAGACCAGGTGAGGGTGCCCACTACATTACAGGAATACTGCGTCTCATCCATCCCTTCCCACGACAACCAAGTGGATGCAGACTTCTACGATGATACCTACGTGGATGATCTGGATGATGAGGAAGAGGACATGTATCATGAAGACGATGAAGATTCTGGCAATGAAGATTCTTGATGACACTATTACCTATCGGGTTTCTGTTAGTCCTGTGTATCATAAATAAGCAGGTGTCAATACTGCCCGGATACCGTTGGAATCCATTTGTTGTACTATAAACATTCGGACTGAAAATAATTACAGTCTGGTATGCACAGATTTGGTATTTTCATTCCTTCCATTATGTATATGTTATTTTCCCTTAAAGGCATTAGCAATGAAGGTCATTAAACACAATGGTTTGTTTGCTGTGCAGCTGTATTTTCACTAATGATCAGAAAACAGATATCCGAACATTAAACCATGTTTCTTCTAACTTGGACATGTAATAAGAGATGATGGCAGAAGTGAAATCAAAAAGAGAATAGAAATGGCCACACACACACAAAATTTAGCAGCATGAAAAAATTAATTGACATCTATAATGAAAACATTAAAAATGAGTCATCAGATGTTATACATACGCACGCCTACTGCAACCACCCTTCATTATGGAGATGGTACCTGATTGATTGTTGGAGATTTCAACAGCTTTTAAGCAAAAATATTTTTTTGTTTTTGTGGTCAGAATCAAAATTAACATGACCAGATGAAAACAGTTGCTATGTTGGCATTTTACTAGCGTGTAGATATTCTGCAGATTAATAGTTAGCAAGTTTTGGGCATGCTTAAATGCCGTTGATGATTGAACTCCCAGTTGCCTCTCTTGACTTTTGTTTATTTCTGAGTACTAATGTATGTCCTAAATTAATCATTCGAGCCTTTGTATATGAAATTAGTTAATTGAATTAGATTTTTTTTTTTTTTCAATGACTGTTTCTCTGTATGCAGATTAAAATTTGGGTTTGCTGATACCACCATCATCAATTCTTTTTTTTTTTTCCATCTTCCAGAAATATAAGCAAATGTAGTCTGGGGTACTTCCCCAAGAACTTATGACCAGTATTTTCCAAATGATTGTCTCAATTTATGAAAGGGAACTGTTTGATTTATTAGGAATACATACATGTAGGAGATTTGTTACATGTATGATTGCTAGATATATGGACTTATCCTGTATTATAAATTGTTGTATGATTTCTGAATAATACATGTTGGAATTTGTAAACAAGTTACTGACCTTTGATAAATTATTTCATGTGTCTTTAAGAAGAGAATATAGTAAAAAGGGTGTTGAGCACAATTAGAAGATACCAGACATGGTCTAAGACAGGGCCATTGAACTCAGGGGCCAAAATATGGGGACTATCGCCAGCCAGAGGCCTTAGCCGTAACATAAAGTTGTAAAACATGATGTTGCAGGACCAATCTTAGCATTTTTGGCCGTTATAATTTTTCTAGGCAGACTTATGTTCAGTAGTTTGCAGTTGCTTTCTGTACGGTCGATTATCGATTCCGCTGTCAAAACCAACAAAAATGGTCTCCTGCCTAATCGCCGGCAGCTGCAATCGAACCCAGCATTACAAAACATGTCCGCAGCGCCTAAACCACAGAGGCTGACAACCCCAGCACAGAAAGATCATTAATACAACGCACTGGCAGGTGATCCATGGGCTATTTGCTAGTCTCATATGGGCCAGATTTGGCCCACAGGCTGCCACTTGAATAGCCATGGTCTTAGACAATGTTTCCAATATAGTGGTCCTGAGAGTCCACTTCTTCTTCTTCTTTCGTTCGCCTGAAATAAGTTATCTATATCAGCAGTTTTGTCTCTTGTATAAATTTCACTGTCGTTGTTAGTTCATTCAGTGGTCCATAGAGTTTACGTTCCACTGTTGTTCTTTCTGGCCAAAAGGTTTGCCTTAATGTGTCAAATTCGGTGCAGTCCTGGAGTACATGCTCTGCGGTCTGGGGCACATTTCCACAGGTGCACATGGCTGATACACCTATCTTGAATTTTGTGTACATGTGGTTACGTAATCGGTTGTGCCCTGTTCTGAGGCGGAAGATAATGACTTGTTCTGGTCTGTCCATAATAAAATAGTCGTCTTGTGCTGGGGCTGGTGGTTTCCTGATCGATTTAATGATTCTTTTCTTTTGGTGGTATGTGACTGGTACATCTGGCTGCTCTTTTTTCGCACCTTCCCCTGCCAGTTGATCAGCTTTCTCATTTCCAGGCACTCCACAATGAGACGGTATCCACTGCATTACGACTCTTCGCTGAACGCTGAGTTGTGTCAGCAGTGTTTGCAATTCTGGTAGTTTCCTAGACTGGAGTGCTTCAAGTACTGATTTAGCATCTGTAAGCATTACCACATACTGTGAGCCAAGGTTGGTATTTAGCAGTTTCTCTGTAGCTATCTTAATAGCCTGGGTTTCTGCATCGTAGTTATGGCAGTACTTCCCGGTTGGTACGCTGGACTTATCCCTAGTACCATCTGGGAATTCGATGTACACTCCAGCACCACCATTTCTAACTGCACTTTCTGCGGACCCATCTGTATAGACTCTGACCCATTGTTCTTGTGGGTATTCTTCATCAATATAACTGAGGGTGGCCATTTTGCGTTGTACACTATCTTGCTCTTTCTTGTCAAATATCCCTTTCACATTTGTCTGGATTTGTACCGTTAGTTTACATTTTTCTCTCCATGGGGTTTGTTCCGGAATACTTTTTAGTGGGCAGCCAATTTCTGGAAGGTCAGGAGTTTGTCTACATATTCTTTTTGCTTGGTGTATAAAGCTGCTTCTTTTTAACCGTCCCAAGGCTAGGTTCTTAAATCTAGAGTCCACTTGGTAGCAAGGTCAGGTAGTACCCTATGTGGACAATTTCCTGACACACTTCCCACATGGAAATTATTAAAAGAAGGAGAAATACTTGAAGCTATTTTCCGATTTATTTACTTAATGTTGTGAGCGTTAGCTCTTAAACCCTTGTTTACTTCCTCAACTTTAGTCTCTGCATCATCAGAATCATTACTTTGTTCTCATCTGACAAGATGGCTAAGCAGAGAGCCGAGCTTGACTCATAGTGGACCTAAGATAACTTTTTTAATTTTTGTTTTGAAAAACTTGTCTTACATAATGTTACTGAAACAGTAACCAGAATCTTGAGGAAAAGGTCAGATTTGGTTGAAAGCCTGAAAGTTCATATTCAGCAATGAACTGGAGAATTCTTAAAGAACTGCATTCCAGTAAATCTTCTTTTGAAACCTAAGCATCTTTAGTTGTCTTCTTAGGTATGGCATAAGGAGACCATCTTCAGAATGTTTATCATAATTAATTACTTAGTTTTGAATTTACTGTGGAGGTACATCTTATGGAGTTGTGATTGGATTCTTGGGCTCAAAAACTGCAAACAGAGCTGATAAACTTTCCATGTCTTTACAGCAGGTGTCAATTTCTTGATAAAACCTGTCACTGCACTCCTACATTGACCTTTCCAATTCCTCATTTAGCGTTCATCTTGAGCCTTTTCCTTGGATCTGGCTGACACTCAAGGGAAATCAGAGTCGAATATACAAAAAGGCAGTTACTGGTGCCATTGGAATTGGAACTCTTCGCTTAGTGCTAATGTTGGGATCAGAGCGCTTATGGGAGTGCCCACAAGTGCTATTATGTCGACTCTTAATTCAACATTCCTTTTCTATAGGCATCATTCTCTTCTCTCCCATAACTGCCCCATTCCTATGCCACTAATAACCACACAAAAGGTATATCACTGTTCTATGTAAAAGTCAGAAACAGACAGCAGACCCAGTAAAATCCAACAGCTTGCACATGTATTAAATGCATAAACAGCTGCCAGAGGTGCCAACGCCAACAGCCTGTCATTAGAACTGCAAATCAGCACTAATGGAAGCAAGTCATGAAAAGGCAGCAGGTGCGCATGCATTAGTGCATAAGGCGAACCGGTGGTTCTGTAGCAACCAGCCAGTTTTCTGAACATAAAGTCCACAACACAAATCACTGGAAGCACAAATGAAATGCAGCTATGTGAACTTGGCAGTTCACACCTAGGCACCATGCAATCAACTTAGTAGCTGGCAGATGAAACTAGGTTTCATTTTTATTTATCGCCCAGTTTCCTGCCAGGGGTTGGAACCCCAACCTTCCACTAGATTAGTGAGCAAAATAGGGTCGTGGAGGTGAGGTAGGACCGGGCAGGAAGCACTCAGAGACTTATAAACTCTGAACGAGAATGCTGCTGGATAAGAAAAGCCGAGTTCTGTCTTTCCATCTGTCAGGAGCTTCCTTCGTAGACCAGCTGTCAACCAAGGCTAAGGGCCCTGCCCTGCAATAACATTATGTTCTAAGACTGCACTTCCTCTGCCCAAGATAAACTAGAGGCAGTCGATGGTAGTTAAGAATTGTTACACACAACTCCGTTAAAACTGTTTTTAAAAAACTGTGTGCGTGGCTTTGTTTGAGGTAAGCAAACTGAATATGCAATGACCATAGGCACAATCTGTTCCAATGTGTAGCTAGCGCGGAGGCAATGACAAATATCATACTTATAGTCCATGCTATGTGGTACTGGTAGTCATGCCTATCCACAACCTTCTTTCTCGTACACTTTCAATAAACTCACATACAGATGATCCTCCATGCCATGACGTCAAACTGTCCACCATACTTTCTCTTGGTCTCCCTCTACCTCTCTTCCCTTCCAGCTTTGCTACCGTCATGATATACTCCAATTTTCTACTCCTCATCACATGACCAAAGAATGTAGACTATCTCTGATGTGGGCAACCAGTTTTCAACCTGAAATAGCGTACTAGTGCTTGTAGAATCTTCTAAGACTAAATGCCATAAACTACCTGAATGGATAAAGAAGTGAAGAGGAAACCACATTACCATTCCAGAAATCAGTTTATAATCAATCAAAAATACAGAAACCGTGTTTACTATCTGTAAACAATATTAAGTTTAATCAAGTTAAAAGAAAACAACTCATAAAATGCTATTTATAGACTTGTTTAACCAAAAAAAAAACAACAACACTGAAATACTAATTTATTTAACGACCATAAATAACAAATAAGGATACCCACTTGACACAAACAGATTAAATG